TTTTAAATTAACTCTAACTGATCAGATTGGTCACCTTTCCGGTCGGTTTCATTGCAAACAATTTTCGTAAGTATGGATTACATATGTAATCCATGCGACCACTGTAGGATAAAGCAAATTTCCTTCATATTTTTAAATGTAATTATATAGTTGTTCAACAGGGCCACCCTAACTCACAACACCCCCTCCATTTCCCCCTTCTGTCTCGCTGGAATAAAGCCTGCCACCCGCAAGACCGACGATAAATCCCAGGCAAATTTCGGTCCTGTTTGTCGCCCTATAAATCCTAAGTAAATTTGACTCCTGTTTCACTCGGTACAGCAGCAGCGATGCAATACAGATAAGTTATCTGCTCGGTACAGCAGCAGCGATGCAATACAGATAAGTTATCTGCTCGGTACAGCAGCAGCGATACAATACAGATAAGTTATCTNCACGACACAGTTCCTGCAATACCGCAATATCACGACACAGTTCCTGCAATACCGCAATATTACGACACAGTTCCTGCAATACCGCAATATTCCAATAGTCTGTGCAGAAGTTCAGAAGTTTGGCGACATTTCAGCTTCGCGGCCGTCAAAGCGTCAGCGCCTGTAAGTTGGTGCTAAGCTCTGAAATTCTGCCATTAAATTTAAGTTAAAACATTACGCATAGTAAATCGTTCATTACGAACTGATTACGATACACTTAATCATTCACTCTGTAATTAAATGTAATAGAAAACATTACGCATACCAAATCATTCACGACGAAACTGTCAAGCTTCGTTGTGCGTAAAAATTTTACGGCATTTGTATTGCCGTTCATCAGTTAGAATAATTAACTGCTTGGTATACATATGGTACTTAATTAAATCAGTTAACTGGACTGAAAATATCAGTGACTGTGTTTAATGAGCTGAATATTTCAGTGACGGTGCTTAATGAGCTTAATATATCAGTGACGGGGTTTAATGAGCTGAATATATCAGTGACTGTCTGTGTTTAACGAGCTAAATATTTCATTTACGTTGTTTAATGAGCTGAATATATCGGTGACGAGGTTTAATGAGCTGAATATTTCAGTTACGGTGTTTAATGAGCTGGATATGTAAGCAAAGTGGTTAACTGAGCTGAATTATTCTATCTGAGATCACAAGTCAGCTCTGCACACTAACACAATAATATCACAATGATAATCACAATAATAATATCTATAATCATAATAATAATAATAATGATAATAAGTCGCTGCATCTCGCTGCACCATCACTGCCAGTGCCCGAGATACTTCAGGTTAGGCGTGTGGCTTCTAATTATTTATTAACGCTTAAAATCTGTTTAAATGTTAATTTATAATTCATTAATGAATTAAATTGAACGAGTCTTCTAGAAATAGCCAGTAATTAAGGTTATATATCAGCCTGGAATTAGGTACTATCATTTGAGTATATTGTTTTAAATAAACTTGATACTGGCCCTTAATGCAATTGAGGATCAAACTCAATGGTGATGAACACTCAGTTGTTTCTTCTCTGCATGAAGAGATTACTGAAGAGAATTATTTATTCTTTTTAACTCACATTTACAAACTAGAAAAATACGTGGAACGCACTAGACGTGCACTGGATTTTTTGCAGCTGATAGATTCAAGGCCTTAATGTTTCCAGAATCAAAAAATTTCAAAGAGGTGTTTTCAAGACAAAAATTAATTTTTAGAGCTAATGCCATTTGCAGCGAGCTTTGCCTCCTTCAAAAATGACTGACAACTGCACTTTTTTTTAATTTTCATTTCTTCTACATTAAAATTGTTTCTTTAAAAACCATTCGATGGTTGCTTTTTCGAATTTTTCTGAGACAGCAGCCGTTGTTCTCTGCCACAGTTTTTCATTTTGCGACGACAAAATGAATTAAAAAAAAGACTAAAACTTTTGTCTTTTTCTTGACGAGTTTTCCAGTCGCAAACATTTCCTGAGAGCCCACGCCACTTCACTAGTAAGGTGAGTGTTTACTAGAGAATCAAGTGTTTACTAGAGAACCTAGTAATTAAGGCCACCACAAACTTGAGTCCCTAATGAACTTAGTCAACTTAGGGAATAAAAAAATTAGGATTAAAGGGAACTGACGAATCTGCACTCTAAACTTCGAGGCTGAATTTAAAATCTGAAATGTGCTGCATTGGTTTTTCTTCTCAACATTCATTTCGCGTCAAAAAATATCGAAATTTTATTCTTTTTTTAGCGCCAGAGTTTCATTAAATGCCGTCCGTTATTGGTCTAAAATTTTTGTAACATTGAATCTAATAAAAAAAACTGCTGGTAAGTGGATATAGTTTTTAAGGCCCGAAATTAGTCGATTTCACCTGTTTCAATGGAGATTAACTTCAATGAGTATAACTCACGTTAAAAATTCCAGGAATTTATACAGCACTATAAAGTTTGCAAAAAAACTCGTATTAACAAAACCATTATTTGTTTAGTGATTTTTTTTACTAAATACCACGTAGTGTTGTACAAAGCAAGACTCAGAAGCAATTTCACAGTGATTTCATTGGCTGCTTTGTTCAACAAATATCCGAATAAATAAATCGTATTTCTCTATAATCTTTCATTACACCAAAAATTGAAAGAATCCCTAAAAATACATTAGCTTGAAAACGAACTTATCCTTTTAACAAAACAGCATTGAGATGCGCCGATAATTTTGAATCTAGAAACCCTTTTAATATCAAAACGTAATTTTCCCGCACTTTTAATTTTGTACAAAGCAAGACTCAGAAGAAATGATACCCAGCGGTTTAACCGAAACAGATTATTTAAAGGTTGTTTTAGAGCATTAAATCTTTGTGAAATATTAACTTTTTTATGAGTAATACCTGGCAATTTCTGGAAAATAAATCCCTTCCATTTAACGAAGTTGATACTCAATTTTTATTGCTCAGGAATTCATCGAACTTTTTTGTAATTTTGCACCGAATGGCAAACTTTTCGTGCACCAAAAAAATCTGCGCATTCATTCTATAGTCATAAAATGAAAAAAGCTGAGCTAGATCGGCTTTTTAATTCATCAACTATGGTTCATATCAATCATTGCAGTATTTCTCGCTGAAAAAATTACATAAATGGGGAAATTATTATTGAAGGAAGAAGACATTCGAACGGCGACATGTTCACTCATGTTCATTAATATCGCACTAAATTTTTAATTGAATTCCTATGAGTTTTTTCTTCAATTGGAGGAAAAATTCATTAAAATTCTGGACAGTTTCATGCAGGGGCCTTTGAGCGCACAAACAAGCGTTTACGTGCATTATTGAAACAATAATTCGATAGCATTTTGTACTCACGTAGCATACCGTACTCACGCAGCATACCGTACTCACGTAGCATACCGTACTCACGTAGCATACCGTTCTCACGTAGCATACCGTACTCACGTAGCATACCGTACTCACGTAGCATACCGTGCTCACGTAGCATACCGTAATAATGAAGCATATCGCAATTTTAGCATGATGAACTGTACAGAAAATGTTACTTATTACTTTTCTAATTTCAGCTGCATTATTTTATTCAAAAAACTCTATATTAAAAAGTGTGCATGCTTCGCTGTCTTCATTGATTTTTTTGCAAAAAAATTCAAGCACTGTGATGCATAATTGATTATTCTTTAAATATTGTAATTAAAACTCAATCACCGTTCCTGTCTTCCGATGTAGGCACAATTGTTTGTATTCTTCACCGCAGTCCCTCGTCATAGCATCAACAGTAATTTAATGCATCTCGAGTGCAGAAATGGTGGAGCTACAATGATGGCGTGGGTTGTGCGACATTATTATTAATTTTGTTTGAAATTTAGACTTTGCTTCTCGAAGTCGGCGATAAATTTGCGCAGAGGTTGCGCCAATATCCGCAACCAGCGCAGGCAGCAGGTACTGGCGCTTCTAACTTGAGATCTGACCTGCAGCCGTACTGCCAAAGTGCACGTGGCGTCCTAAATACACGTAGCGGCATAAGTACATTTACGGTCTTAAGTACACGTAGCAGCCTTAAGTACACGTAGCGGCCTAAGTGCACGTAGTGGCCAAAGTACACATAGCGGCCTAAATACACGTAGTGACCTAAGTACACGTAGTGGCCTAAGTATACATAGTGGCGTAAGTACATGTAGCGGCCTAAGTACATTTACGGTCTTAAGTACACGTTGCAGCCTTAAGTACACGTAGCGGCCTAATTGCACGTAGTGGCTTGGTACACGTAGCGGCGTAAGTAGACGTAGCGGCCAAAGTACACGTAAGCGGCCAGAGTACACGTATAGCGGCCTAAGCACACGTAGCAGCCTAAGTACACGTAGCGCCAAAGTACACGTAGCGGCCTAAGTGCACGTAGCGGTCTTAGTACAAGTAGCGGCCTGAGAACATTTACGGTTTTAAGTACACGTAGCGGTCTAGGTATTATACTTTGTGTCCCAAGTTCACGTAGCGATCGATTTGTCGTCTTTGGTTGGTATGGGTTTGGCTTGAAAAGCCATCCGTGATTGACTGACGGAGTTAAAAATTCGTAACTTTTTAGCGCATTTTCTCATTTATGGAAAAAGGAGCTATTTGCTCGTCATGTCCGTCCGTGACGGATGGACGGACGTGAAAAAATGCGCTCTCTGTCACTCACTGCAGTGAGTACTGATCTAATTTTTGGGTAGTACGGAAGGTTCCATGGAAGCTGACGCTGATGCGGCGGGCATTATTGACTGAGTTTCGAGAGCAAAGGTGAAAGATTTACGATAATTTTACGTTATGTGATCATTATAAAGAGGAAGATATACTACGTTGTTCGTAAGTTAGGATGAATCGACGACTTTCCGACAGGTGGTATGTTTTGACTTTATCAAATTTTGACATGAATTAGAGTTCTACAAAATTCGGTAGCGTGAAAGACCTAGTAGCGATAGGGCTGCTATCAGTTATATTATCCGGTTATCAGTTATAATATCAGTTGTTGATGGTGCATGTCGTCCGATAACATGAAAAGCAAAGAGCAACTGACACCCCAAACTGCGGAGAAGACGCGGGACACATTACTAGACAAGTCACGGGCCATGTCGCGGGACATGTCGCGGGACAAGTCATGGGACATGTCACTAGACAAGTCATGGGACACGTCACTAGACAAGTCATGGGACATGTCACTAGACAAGTCATGGGACACGTCACTAGACAAGTCACGGGACACGTCACTAGACAAGTCACGTGACTCGTCACTAGACAAGTCACGGGACACGTCACTAGACAAGTCGCGTGACTCGTCACTAGACAAGTCACGGGACACGTCACTAGACAAGTCGCGTGACTCGTCACTAGACAAGTCACGGGACACGTCACTAGACAAGTCACGGGACACGTCACTATAGACAAGTCATTGGACACGTCACTAGACAAGTCATGGGACACGTCACTATTCAAGTCACGCGTTGTGTCATGGGACACAACTTTGTATCTCGATCCCTCATGTTAAGTTATCAGCACTTGACGTTCACCCATACCCTTCACCTCCAAGATGTGAATGCATTTCTTCAACCCAGATAAGAAGCAACGACTATGAACTTCAAGGTAATTTCCGGTGTCGATGGTAGCGATTTAGGGTATTTCCGCGTGATTTAGGGTATTCCTAGAACATTATCTTGGCAAGAGATATTTGGAGTCAGCATTTTTTTCTGTGATTTGGAACACGCCAGTCACTTCCGGCGTTGACGAATGCATCGGCAACGCGCGCTCGAAACGCGAATAAAATCGGAATGGAAGATTAGACGCGACAGGCGCCATGACAGTAGACGAGGAACGAGATAGCAGCGGTGCCAGAGAGGATTATAGAGCGCCAGAGACATTTGTAAGACTGGAGACAGGCCAGAGACTGCTACGAGATAGCAGCGGTGCCAGAGAGGATTAAACAGCGCCAGAGACATCTGTAAGACTGGAGACAGGCCAGAGACTGCTATGAGATAGCAGCGGTGCCAGAGAGGATTATATAGCGCCAGAGACATCGTGAACTAGAGACATGCCAGAGACTTCTTTAAGATAGCAGTGGTGCCAGAGAGGATTATACTGCGTCAGAGACATTTGTAAGATAACAGACATGCCAGAGACTGCTATGAGATAGCAGTGGTGCAAGAGAGTATTTTACAGCGCCAGAAACATCTGTGATACCGGAAAAACCTGCTAGAAGAAAAAAATAGATTTCTGTAAATCCAATAATTTATGACGACTTCTTTTATTCTAAGAACTTCTTCTAAGAATAAACTTCTGTAAGGTCAAGAACTTCTATGCGATAAACAAACTTGCACGAGTCTAAAGACTTCTATAAGACAAAGAATTTCCATAAGACCAAAGACGACGATATGAGGAACCATTTATTTCAGTTCAAGAAATTCATACCATGAAATTCTATACGATCAACGGCTTGTGAGAGCTCAAGGACGGCGATAGTAACGAAGACTTCTATGAGGCCTTGGTCTTCTATGTGACAAAAGACTAACATAAGACCGAGACGTCTATTAGCTCTATAGGACTTCTATAAAAACCAAATATTGCTATAACAAGCAACTCTGAAGACTTGTATGAGACCTAAGACTTATATGAGACCTAAGACTTATATGAGAACTAAGATTTATTTGAGACCTAAGACTTATATGAGACCTAAGACTTATATGAGACCTAAGACTTATATGAGAACTAAGATTTATTTGAGACCTAAGACTTATATGAGACCTAAGACTTTTATGAGACCTAAGACTTATATGAGAGCTAAGACTTATATGAGACCTAAGACATGTATGAGACCTAAGACTTATATGAGAGCTAAGACTTATATGAGACCTAAGACATGTATGAGACCTAAGACTTATATGAGAACTAAGATTTATATGAGACTAAGACTTATATGAGACCTAAGACTTATATGAGAACTAAGATTTATATGAGACCTAAGACTTATATGAGACCTAAAACATGTATGAGACCTAAGACTTATATAAGACCTAACACTAAAATGAGACTTAAGACTTCTTCAAGACCAAGAACTCAATAACCCCAAAGACTCTCACAAGACAAAAAACTGATAAGAAACAAAGACCTCAATAAAAAAAGAGACCTCTGTATGCCAGAGGCCGGATAAGGCGCTATAAAAATGTACAATTGTACTTACATCGAAATCCTGCGATGGATGAACCACTGAAGATATGGAGGAAAACTATTGAAGTTAATTGCATAAGCAAAAAAGAAAATGAGAGTTTATCACTTTCTATCTTAAACACAATTAAGATAATGTTCAATTGACGACAATAATTAACAACAGGTAATAACCGATTACATTGAGACGTATCATCGAGCGCGGGAGTGAAAACTGTAAGCTTAGAAAGAATATAAATATTCTGAAATGGATATAAAACATATAACATGGCCCTTCAAAGGATTTTCATTCTAAGTATAAAGTATCTTCTATTTAACGTGAATAATCCATGTAGGACACTTACAATGAAGAACGCATCTAAGCAAAATTTGAAAAGATGTCATCGATTTGTTTCATTTGGCATAAATCTCATATTATACAATATTATATACAAATTTAACTTTCATAGCAATTTCTTAACATCAACCATTATTTTTAACGTGTAGATATCACAAGTCAAGTCGAACAAACATTCGCGATGTCCAAGCACAAGCCGAGGGATGTTTTCGACGAAGCCAACATCCGAAAATTCCCGATGTCCAAAATCGAACACAAGTCAGCGTCGGGAAAAATATAAAATTTTTCAGCGCCAGAGCAGGTCATCAATATTGCAGGTCATCAATATTGCAGGTCATCAATATTGCAGGTTAGGGCCCGGGAGGGTTGTGTTCCCTTATAATATCTGCAGGTCGTTGCAGGTTATCAATATTGCAGGTCATCAATATTGCAGGTCATCAATATTGCAGGTCATCAATATTGCAGGTCATCAATATTGCAGGTCATCAATATTGCAGGTCATCAATATTGCAGGTCATGGTGGGGTCTTACTTCTAGGGTATAGCCTGCAGGTCTTTACAGGTTATATTGTGCGCGTCATAAAAAAATAAAAGGCCTGATTTGAGTCTTGAAGCTTCGAAATGAATTAAATTTAAAGGCGATATCTCATTACATATAATCAGGTGCGAGTAGAAAAGCGACAATACAAACATTAAATGAGCTGAAAATGAACATATATAAGAAAGCAATCTATAATGAGATACGATATACACCCCGCGAATGGAAACGGATATAAATTAAATGTTTGAATACATTCATATAATGAGACGAAGAATACATCGAACTAATACGAAATGAATTCGATTTAAATGGGAGCATACATTAATAAAATGAAAATAGTTACATTAGTAGCAGGTTAACCTCGCAGTTACAGGCTATTAACAGGATATATAAGTTAAAAACGCCTAAATTAGTTTCATAATTAGATTTTATTCAGCTCCATGAATTAATTAAAACGTTGTTTTGAGGACTTCTGCAATTTTCCACGGTTAAAAAGTATAGAATCAATGATTAATGTCTATTAAAAAATCTGCAACTCGAGGTTAATTTAGTTGGCACAACGTGAACAAATTGATTCCAAAATACTGAAATTTCGGATTATCATAGACACAAATTAATTAATATGATGTCTATATTAATTAATATAGACAATAATTAATTTGCTACGCAATATATTAAAGTCTGGACCTTTTTTAGGAAGCGCATGCAGCATAAGTCGTCTGCATATTGCTTTATCTAACGCCACTGCATTTCTGTTATCATCGGTCTCAGGTGATATCATCTCCCTATTTGTGCTATCAAGCTATCATTTGACACTGATAGTATTCGGGCAAATCAGGTTAATTTATCTGCATGATTGTAAGATCAGAACCATCATTTCGACATTTCGACGAAGCTTTGATATATAAAATGATTCCGACTCCAAACACTTCAGGTAATTCGAGTCGGAATGACAGGCTATCAAGCGTGAGAACTGGTGAGCTTAACTGAATTAGAAGTAAAAATCTTCGAAATAAATTAAAATTGAATTATACTTAATATTAGATGGCACTGTCGAACTTTCAGCTATAAATTTATTAAACAGTGATTTAATCACAAGCTTTTACAAACTTTTAAATGTGATGACTAGAAGACAGAAACCTCTAATTAAAATAATGGTTCAAGCGTCCAGTTACATAACTTTGATAAAAATAGAAAATATATACAACCATTTACTGGGAAAGTACAATCCTTTAATGCAACGTCATTTGTTAATATCTACTCGTATATTGTCTCTAATCAATTTCTGGATACGTTATTTTTCTTTACATAAGCGTAATTAGCGTTATGATTAAATTTCGAGGCGAAATGAGCAATAATTGATTCAATCAAAACGCGGTAAAAAACACGTGCAGATAGCACAGAGTCAAGTTCTTAGAATTCAACACTTGACAAACTCTTGACAAACGCGGGTGCAACATTTCCCACATATCGCTCATTGTTTTTGAGCGCAACAAAACTATCAATAGCGTTAGGAATTACGTGCACCTTACGGGCAATTTACGGGCAGTTTACGAGCGGTCTATGCGCGGTTTACGGATGATATGCAGGTGGTTTATAGGTGGCCAACGAATAGCCGACGGACTCCAGTGATAATGCTACTCAAAAATGGTAATTGGCGATCGCGTTCTTTTAAATCGTTCCTGCGGATTAGAATAATTGAGTTTCAATGTTACTAATTGAATTGGAGATCACATACGCGAGATTAAAAAAATGTTAATGCACTGATTCCGGTAGGAATGACATTATGAGTAGACGTGAAGCTTTTACTGGACGACAATAAAACGACAATTTCCAATTCACGCAGGAATTTCACTTGAAATTATTGATCAGATAACCGTCATGGAATGAAAATGGCTACTTTAAAATTTAGGTTGAAAAAACGCAACGAGTACAAAGAAAAGCGACCAATTTCTAATTAAATCTCGATAAACGAACATATAATGCCTTGAAAAATACAGTGCAGGTGTGTAATGAAGGAACCTTGACGAATGTGACACAAGATTTCAACCTTCTTGACTCAAGGCTTTAACCCACTTTATTCCACACTGGCAGGTTTTCTGGGGTTAATAATCCCTACTATTTTGGAATTCCGTTATTCCGAATCCCATTAATGCTAATCCAATGAATGTTAATTGACGAAAAACCTGTTCAAATTTACATTTAACACTGAATATAGAACTTTTATCTCCCTTTAATAATATATTTTTTAAGTCCAAGCAATATCACGACATAATAAGTATGGATACGCGCCCAAACCGCCTATATTTTTTACAATTCCAGGCATAAAAAACACATACAAACAAGCTT